AACACAATTAATTTAAAACTAGAAGTCTCTTCCAGCAGCAAGTGATATCACTGAGCTATTTTCTGCATTTCTTAAAAAAATTTTTTTTCTATTTTTGCTTTGTGTTTTTCATCTCCTCTCATGTATTTTCTATTCACATTACTAAAAGCAATACAACCAAAAATTTTCACTTTTATTTATCAAAAAAGTTTTTAAACTAAAATTAATCTTTTTCTAGTAAAAAACTCCATAAACCATTGATGACAAAGTGGCATTTAAGACCTTAACTCATCTATCCTAAAACTGTAAAGAAAATCATATTATTATTGGGGAGAAGGCGCCAGCGGTTTTCCTTGTTTAGGCAAGGATTAGTTTAACATTGAAATAGAAATAGCTATTTTTTTCTCTCTCTCTCTCTCTTATTCTTTTGTGTTTAACAGAATGTTCTTTGAAAACAAAAGTTAATTAAACTATGCAATTTTTATTATAAAACGCCACATAAGAGATGACAGTAAAAGGTTTTTATGCATTTTATTTTTTTACAATCCGCTTTCTCCTGTTACTGCATATTGCGTTGCTCCTGGGGGAACCCTTCGATAACTCTTTATGTCAGAATCATGATAAATATTTCGTTTTTTTGCAAAAACGTACTCATCAGAAAACCGTGCATATTTATGCAATCTAACCCTTTATTGATTATAATGTTATACTTGTCTTCCGATAGTGATCCAAAAGTTATAACAGAAAATCATCAACCAACAACTCAGTATTATTTGATGTTTTTGGTAAAAAGCAGGTTAATTTTAATTTAGAACAAAGTGACAGTTATGGTGCTTCGCCGAAAAACGCCGTCCTCTTGGTTAAAAATGTAGCATGAGTTTTATTGGATCAACTAAAAAAAACAACCACATTTCCACTAATAGTGTACATCACTATTTCTTTTAAAATTTCAAAACAACGCGTCTATTCAAAAGTTTTTTTAAAGCAAAAAAGGCATGGATTAGATGTTTTTGTAGAAAAGCCTCTTTAGTTTTGTTCTTAGTTGTAAAATGTCGAACAGCATTTGCCATCTCCATACAGTAACATTGTTGCAACTCTCAAACAAGTGAATTAGTCAGACATTTATTAGTTTTTCTAATAATTTCCATAATAAGACTAATTTAAGGAAACCATTCAGTTTTATCGATAATATGTTGCGAGTTTCAAGCAAGATCACCAATTTTTAGGTCTGGTTCAGATAGGAATTTGAAAATAATATAGTGAATATCGTCGTCATGTCTAAGAGAAATATTTTTGTATCTCTCTAAGTCTAGCTCATTTATGTTTAGTAGTACATTGCATTCATCAAAAGGTTGCAATGAGCTCTTTAAGAATCTTGGTTTTTCAATTATGGAATCTTTTTTTTAAAATTTGAGTAAATTTTGTCGACAAATTCTATTTAGAAGACCTTTTAAGTTTGGCTGCAAACATTTCTTGCTAAAGCCAGAGACAATCAATTGATATCGGCCCATATAGAATGTTACATATAGAAATATCAGATTGTTCATGAGTTTAAGAAAACTATATCTACAATCAGAATTACTGCAATTATTCCTAATCATCTGAAATATTCTCNTTGGCTGCAAACATTTCTTGCTAACGCCAGAGGCAATCAACTGATATATGCCCATATAGTATGTTACATATAGAAATATGAGATTGTAGATATACTTTTCTTAAACTCATGAACAATCAGAACTACTGAAATTATTCCTAATCATCTGAAATATTCTCTTACTTGTAATAATTCACTGAGCTAGAATTCAAGTTTTACCTTAAATTGAAGAAGTTTCTTTTCAACACATTTTGTTCCAATAATTGCACCTCGTCTTAAAAATTAGCTAGGCACCGTGTTTCAATTTTCCCCCACTTCCTAGTTTGAATTAGAGTAATGTCAAAAACTGATTTTATTTTATTAATAAGTTTCGTAAGTTTAAACCTAGTGAAAACATAATGATCTCTTTTGATGCAAACTTTATTTTTTTGTTTACTAATATTTCTCTAAACGGTGCCCTTAATATCCAGAAAAACAAAAATTACAAGAGTTCCAGTTTTTGTAAAGTTGAAATCGACGAATAGTACACATTACCCCCATTTTATTTAAAGTATTTCACTTTTAGTAGTATCAGCATATGGTCCAGGACATACTTAAGTAATTATAATTCCCTTTTTATAGACTATATGTGGACGATTGTTTCACACTGATGGACAATACTAACATGATCACATTGATGTCCTCTTCTCATAAAGTTCTAAACAAAAGATAATTACTTTACTCTCACCTGCTGCTTAAATTTGTTCTAGTAGTTACCTCTTAGTTAAAAGCTCCTTTACCGCGGAGCTATCTTGTTTACCTTGAGTTTCCTTCTGTTATTATAGATTGAATTTGCAGAGCATTAATCACGCCATTCAACAAACTGTTTAAATTAAACTTTATTAAGTTGATTGTTTTACTTTATCCAAAAATCAGTCAGCGAATTTCCAAGATTTTGAGTAAATTTTAATTTAAAGTTGTTTTCTAGCCCGTATTAATAGTTAGGATATTTATCTAGTTTTTTGTCAGTGTATTTCTTGTGTATAATTATAATTATGCATAATACCCTTAAATTTCGACGTAAAGAATATGAAAAATGTGGCAAAATCAGGACAGTAAACAATTTTTTATCGCAACAAGTAGCTGGAAGTCTGATCATAGGTTAGAGTTTTTCTGTTGCTAAAATCATTCCACAATGCTCTTCATCTACCAACCTTTATTTCTAGAAATTCGTCCACATTTTGAATATTTCTAAAAATTTAGTTAATGATCGTTCTAGTATCTCACCCTTTTTAAAAATTTGGAAATTTATCCTTATTTTATCTTTGGCACTCTGGGGATCCCTACTGACACCCTCTCACATGTTTATTAAATCTTTTCTTTTTTTATCTTGCTCTTCAGTTTTTGTAGGGAAACCACTTCGCACGTGATTGTCTCTACTTTTTCTTGTCATTTCTGAAATCAGACACTAAGAAAGGATTTTGTTTAGAAAATTGAAACTATAGTATGTTCATATTCGTAATTTCCTTTTGATTCATTCAGTTTTTTTTCTTTTTTTGCTTTAATCTGCAAAGAAAAATGCCCTTCTTTAGAATAAAAATTGAAATTTTACTAAAGATTTGATAAAAAAAAACTCATTAAATAGAACTCAATATAAAAATTCTGAGCATAAAACTTTTCTAGAGAATAAAAATTTTCATATATGAAGTGAGTAAATATTACTGATACTTATTGTATCGAGTAATTTTTATATTGATTTTAAGGAAGTTTTGAGAGGAAATTATAATGTATATTTATTATATTAGTTAAAAATATGCCATTATTAAGTTACATTCTTTGTCTGTCATATTTTAATATACAGAATGCATCGAACCCAATATAAAATAAAAGTCTTGGTAAAGCACTGTCATTCACTCGTGAACTCTATAGAATAGTAATTTTGGATCAACGCTCTGCTTAATCTGTATTTTTATTTATTTAAGCTTGCTGGAAACAAGGAACCATCTAAGCTTTTGTGTTGGGGGGTAATGCCTGCCGCCTCCACGTGGTGCCCCCTGGATACCCCTCACTGGGTAACTAAATGGCAGTCAAACACACACGATGAGTAATCAAAAAGCCTTTGATACGGCATCATCCGTCGCGCCGGTCAACAAGGGATGCGTTCAGGAGTTAGGCAGAGGTTCCTGTTCGAAAAGTCTTATACAATCTCCAGTAGCGTATGGTAAGCCCTCGGGTGAGCCCAGTGCTAATACCGCTGCTGTCTGCTTCGGATGCTGGTGAGGCGTCCAAAGGTGCAGGCCCTTTCTCTGTAGGAGTCTCTGGTCCCCAGAGGCACTCGGTGGACAGTGTGTCTGGTACCATTGGACTGTCCAAGAGCCGGAAGAAGAAGTTAAGGAAAATGAGGGCCATGGCGGCGTATGGAGGAGCTAAGAGACCTAGGTCTTCTGGTGCAACTCCATCTCCCAATGCGCTAACCCAGAAAGGAAAGAAGCCCAGGGAGGATGTTGTTCCTGGGAGAAAAGCCCAATCTAGCGGAGCGGTTCCCCCTAGTGGAGATAGCCGAGCTGGAGAGGGAGATCCAACCGGGGGCCTCCAATCTGGTGTCTCTTTTGCCTTTGCAACCGAGTCTACCAAGATTGCTATAGTCCTGGAGGACTTTCCTCCGGACAAGCTTTCTTTGGAAGACTCGAATAACATCTTGAAAGAAATCTTAAAGCGGACTGACGCCATTCCTGGTGGCGAAAGACTGCCTGAGATTTACAGCAACCACCTCCAAAGAGGAGGGCTGGTTTTACAATGTAATGAATTTACTGAAGGGTGGATTAAAGGCCACTTCAACAATAAAGCCCTGGGTAATCTCATGCTCAAGGTTATAGGTGCAAACGAGCTACCCAAGCCAGTTACGGTTGTTTTTAAAACAAAGGAGCAACTCTCTGACCAGAGCACCTTTTTATGGCGTCTTCAGAGACTAAACCCAGGGTTGACGTCTATGGGGTGGAGGGTTCTGCAAAGTGCTGCGGGACCGGGCACCTCTAGATGGATCTTTGAGGTGCAGCCTGATGACGCTGAGGCAATTGCAAGGGCAAATTTTTGCGCACTAGCTGGAGTGGATCGTGGTGTCTTTAAGATTATCCACGATCCTAACAGGAAAAAAGCAGTGGAGGCTCCAACAACATCGGGCCTCCCTGTAGAACCTGATGTTCAAGAGGACATGGAACAGGAGAATGAACCTTGGCCGGCTAATTCCCCTAAATCAAAGGTAAGTTCTATTGGGGTTCTTGATTTTTCAGAGCTTTGGTAGGACTCAGGGTCAGATGTAACATTACAACCTGACTCACCAGCTTCCATGCTTGGTATTGATGAAGCAATGGAGCTGTTAAAGGAGGATTTTTCTTCTAAAGATAACCAGGATAGATAGCCATTCTGGTTTCACTCATACTGTTAACCAATGGCTACAATCAAGGTTGATCAAATTAATCTCCACAATAGCATTGCTGCCTCAAGCCTTATGGCCAAAAGGTTGAATGATGGAGAACTAGATATTGCTCTTATACAAGAGCCTTGGACCCGCAAGGGTAGAATAATGGGTCTCAATGTTAAAGGTTTTAATATCTTTTATGATACCCGTTGTGACCTTCCCAGGACCTGCATAGTGGCTAGGTCTAATCTAAATGCCCTTAATCTTGTTAACTTTCTTAACAGGGATTTAGTTGCTGTAAAGCTAAAATTCTATGACAATAAGACAATTTCTGATTTTGTCATAGCCTCAGCCTATCTCCCATATGAGGAGAAGGATCCATTAGCTGTCATTACTAGGGCCCTAATTGTCCACTGTAGTTCAAGCTGTAGATTCATCTTCGGCTGTGATGCAAATGCTCACCACACAGTGTGGGGTAGCAGTAATTGTAACCAGCGGGGGGATGTACTTATGGAACATATCTTAGTTTTTAATTTATATGTCCTTAATAAATGCAATGAACCTACCTTTGTTACTTGTAACAGAAGGGAAGTCATTGACCTTACTTTATGTAACTCTAGTTCAGTAGATTACGTTAATGATTGGAAGGTATCTGGGGCAGTTACTGCTTCAGATCACCAACTAATTACTTTTTCTATTAAAGGCCTCTCGGGACTGAAGGTCGTAAGGAGGAACCCCAGAACAGCTGATTGGGGTTCCTTTAGAGCAGCTCTAGAGCGGAAGATTTGGAGCTTCTCTGGTAAGTACAATAATGTTAATGATGTGGAGTGGACGGTTGACCAAGTGCAACAGATCATACTCGATTCACATCATATTTCTTGTCAGGTTACGTCTACTAGCTCCCCAAGGCGAGTTCCTTGGTGGTCTTCTGAGCTTAGTAAATTACGTAAAAAATGTAGGAAGTTCTTTAACAGAGCAAAGAAATCTGGAGAATGGCAGTCCTACAGAAACGCTCTAACTGCTTATAACAAAGCAATCAGAGCATCTACACGTTGCTCATGGCAGACTTTCTGCGATGGCATTAACACTACTTCTGCCACCGCAAAGATTGCAAAAAATCTTACTAAAGACTTTAATTGCAGTTTAAATGCCATCCGTCTTACAAACGGAAGATACAGTGAATCAGGGGAAGAGGCTCTTGGAGAAATACTTGAAGCACACTTCCCTGGATCTCATCCTGTAGAGAATGAAAACCTACATATTATTACCACAACTACTTGTAGTAGGAATGACTGGGAGGCCGCCAAAATTGTGGTCTCCTATGAGAAGGTTGTATGGGCCATAAAGTCTTTTAAGCCCTACAAGTCACCAGGCATGGACAACATCAAACCAATGATGCTTATCCAGGGGGTGAATACACTGGCCCCTATTCACCCCCTGGGAGAATTTTTCGATCCTGTATAGCATTTGGGTATATACCTCTCTCTTGGAGGAATACCAGGGTGATTTTCATACCAAAACCAGGTAAGGAGAATTATTTTGAGGCTAAATCATTCAGACCAATCAGCCTCACTTCCTGTCTGTTGAAAGCGATAGAAAAGCTAATTGACAGACACCTCAGAGACACTGTGCTCATAGAAAGGCCACTGTCCTCCTCACAGCATGCCTATCAACCAGGCAAGTCTACAGACACCGCTCTGTATGAGCTCTCCTACCTGCTTGAGAAATCTATCACAGATAAGGAGATGGCTCTCGCGGTTTTCATTGATATTGAAGGTGCGTTTGATAAAGTCCCTGTTGAGACTATCATCAATGCACTTAGGAACAGAGGCATAAACTCAATAATTACCAGATGGATAGCGAATTTGCTTTCCTCTAGGTATGTTTGTTCCTCTCTATTGGATGCAAGCATGAAAGTGCATGCAACTGCCGGATGCCCCCAGGGAGGGGTTTTGTCCCCTATCCTATGGTGTATGGTAATGGACTCCCTGTTAGTTCGGTTAACTGCTCTTGGCATTCCCTGTATCGGGTACGCTGATGACGGTGTTATTGTTGTCAGAGGCAAACATGGAAAAACTGTCTCTGATATCATGAATAATGCACTCCTAGAAGTAGCTAGGTGGTGTTTTAAATCAGGCTTATCTGTCAATCCATCCAAGATAAGTTATGTAGCCTTCACNCGCGTACGTGGGTTTCACAGAAATAGCCTTTACACTTTCTTCACATGCTTTGCGATAATTAAAAGACTGTAAACGTTCAAAAGTCTTAATAATGAGAGTATTTAGCTCACCCATTGCTGTCCTGGCATGTTCCCTTAATTCTGTACTCATGTTGCACTTTGAAAGTAAGGCTTTGTTTATAATATTGTACTGATTTTTAAGAGACAAATAAAACGCGTCAAGCACGTCATCCGCCATCTTGAGCTCCCCGATCATCCCCTTAGTCGAGCATTATCTTATCTTTATAATTATGATACTTCTTAATACAAGAAGAAAATTGTAGTGATAAAAAAGAAGTTATTTTGCATACAGGATTCATTGCTCATAAAAACAAATGAGATTTAATGTCCGATTTATAATCAAGATGAATTTAAAAGATTTTATAAATGAAAGAGAAGATGTGAAAAGCAGTTTCTAAGCCGTGGTTTCTAATAGTTTCATTATCGGAATGAAAGTTTCTACTAGCGACCTTAGAGCAATTTATGATATACGTAACATAAAGTCTGGAAAATATATATCATAAATCTTATAGAGCTCTCTTGCTATTTGTAAGTAGGGTACTGCTGAGCTAGGGTCTATTTTTAAATTGGTATCCCTGTTTAATTGATAATAGAAAACTTATTATGGCAACTTATTAAATTACTTAAAAAAAAAATATTTGATGAAAATCCTCTAACAATTATTGACTACATAAAAAAGCCGGCAGTGGACCAGCTCCAAAATATTGAATTAGTTGGTGAAGGGAAACCTTTAATATTCATTCCGAAAATTAAGTAGGGTGACACTTTCATAGCTATCTATTAATTACAAACTTACAGATGACACACTTTCTAGATAATGCAGTGGCAAATGTCAAGATATTTAAGCCTTTGCTGGTACAACACATAGCATCAACTAATGGTATGAGTCTTTTGACTACCATATTAATAGAGAAGGTTTGTTCACATGAAACTAACGAAATTTCAAGGCTGGTCAACGTGTTGAGCATGGCATTATAATACAGCAAAGAAATTGTCAGTTATGATTGCTTTTTTTAGAGAAAAAAAAAGATGCCAACTTACAAAACCAACATATACTGAATACTTTGTGATTCAATTTTGTATCAAAGGAAGATAGAGGTTATTTGACTTGCAACAGATATTTGAAAAATCTAATAGCAATGGCATCTATTTTGCTATTTAAGAAAAATTTGTTTCAAATCCCCAAACATTTATTTACTGAAAAAATTAGCAATATATCAGTCCTTGGGTATTGAAGTAGTTGGAGAAAAGAAATCCTGTATCATATTTGCCAATTTTTACTCTTTCCTCGGAAGTTTTTTAACAGTGGTATGGAAGTGAAAATCAAATTATTATTGCATTATAAATATTTGTTTTATATTTTACCAGAATTTAAAAGCATCCTCATATGGTAATCAAACATTTATATATCAGTGATATTTGTTAATATGCAGAGGTGGTAAGTTAGATAGTTATTGTTTTCTGCTTCACCCTTCTTGAATTAATTTCCTAAGTAGTAAGTAAGTGATAATTGGATTATAATTACATGCAAAAATATTTGTTTAAACTTCCCCAGAATATCAACACATCCTCATATAATAATCGAGTATTTATACAACAGTACTTGTTTTCATGTATAGATGATCAAATATATAGTGAGATACATTTTCAATGATATGGTTGCTTATATTTNTTCTCATTTTTCAAATTAGAACACAGTGTTAAGATGTGTTTTATGCTTAATGGTTCTCTGCAATTAGGGCAAACAGCAGCTAGTTCGCTTAGTAAAAGGAGTCTATGATTGTTGCATATGAATGATTATCAATCATGTATGGCCAATTCGTAATCTGTTTAAAATACTAACAACCTTCCTGGAACTATTTCTTTTAATGATCTTTGTGACCCATTCCATCTGCTAATTGTTAAAGTATCTGTTACTTTCTTAATTACGTCAAAGCAAAAAACGGGTGAGCCTGATCAATAGATTTTGTGATGAAACAATTATGAACAAAGCACAATTATGAAAAGGCATTTTCGGAATCAACCCTGTTTAGAAGATGGGATGTATTTTGATTTTTCGTTAGATGAATACTTTGGGCCTTTTTTAGTTTTGGAGTTCTAGTAATTTTCAGATCCGCAATTACATTCGATTTCGACCCATTTGAGGAAAAATTCATCTCACATCTAAATTTGCTGTTAAGTTTTAAATATTCAAAAAATGGGATTGAGAAAGCTTTTAGTATGCCATCATCAGGGCAAGAAGTGGTAATTTTACAGCAGTCTTTAACCCAGCTTGTGTAATAATGGAATTCCACCCGTCAATCGGCTGTATTTGACATTTTAATGGGTTTTTTCTTTCAGTTTTAGATTTATACTGCTCGAAGGAAGGGTATTAATGAAATTGATTTTTAGCCTTTGAAAAATTCTCACCTAAGCTGTGAACTATTTCTTTAACATCATATAAAAATTATTAAGTTTGGTTTTAAGATTTGAAAAAGAATAAGTGTTATAATGGCCATACAATGTTCGGATTTTTCTCCTAATTTCTGTAAATAGTTTTTTTAATGTATTTTGTTAACATGATGAATCCAGAAGTTTCTTTGGATCCGCCATCGTACTTTTCAAGCTGCAGAGCTCACGCTTTTCTCAAAATCTATTGAGTTTCCGCTAGTTGGATAACGACGGAATTTTTTCCATGCTTCACTTTGAGAGTTTAATGTGCTTGTCTACATTTATTGTTCCACCATGGTTTAAGAAAATTTTGTTTGAGACACATTGTATGGTTTTCTCAGTTTCTTATAAAATCAGATCGGCAGTAGGCGTGTGATAAGCATTTTTTTAGAAGGGAAGACACATTTTACCCCTTAAAAATAGTTGTTCTGGATACAGATATCTGTTTAGGTTAGTAAAAAAAATTTAAGTTTATAAAAGGAAAAAAGATTTTTTAGTTAAAAAAAATTGAATTGAAAGATTTAAAATACACACGCCACAGGTTTGTGGCAGGCACCCGCCCAGCTAACAGGCATCTATTCAGGTTACAGTTCGGTGTATAAGCTTAGAAGTAGAGTAAATTTAACATCAATAGCGCCGATGAAAAGTTCTCAACAGGAAAAATAAAAAAATTTTGAAAGAAACTGGGGAGCCAGACTAACAGAACATCATTTTGGTAAAAAATAGAAACGGTAGTAGTTTTTCTAATATCACTTCCTTATTGAACACAAGCAACACGTTTATAAAATTAGAACCATCCGTATACAGTATGTGAAAGTCGTCAAAATTACATATTTGAGCATAAAAATAACTTTGTAAATCATTGGAGATGTTTTATCTTTAGTCAATCTCATAGACGTTGTTTAACACAGGAATCTGTTGGACTGACTATAGTTTATGAATCAGAAAATGTAAATCCCTTTAGTTTCGCCAATTTTCGTACTTTTGTTTGTTATAACTGACTTTCAATAGCTTGCATATCAGATGATTAGCAAGTTAATTCAAAATCAACGATGAATAAATCACCATGAACGGATTCTGGCGAAATAAATAAAAATTCGTTAATTGTTTTTAAAGCAATTCAGTGCTTATGACGTTCCCGTATGGTATATCTTTATCTTGAATAAAATTATCTGATGAAATTACAGTAAGCTTTAGTTCAAAAGGTCCAGCCATTTAAAAGGTTTTTGATAAAATGAAACATTCCCCCTGATATTGTGCATCCGTAGGCTTTTAAAGTTCCAGCACTTTTCAACAATCGTCAGAGGCGACTTTTGGTTAGGAAAGTTTTCAAAATCAAAATTCAACAATACTGCTAACATAAAAAAATCCTAATTTGATTTTAAAAATAAAATCCTGTCTATTGTGTCGTGGAACATTTTACAATCTCTTAAATTTGACCACTTTTAAGTACATTAGCTAGTCTGGTCTCTATCACTCGTGAGTGCTATGTAATGAACTGGAAGGAAAGTTCCGTTCAGCTCTAAAAGTAGAGTCTTTGGAAGATGTATGAATATATATTATTTTTGTGTATTGCATGGTGATGTTAGTTTGCAGTGCTTAATAGTGGTTTTTAGTTCAATTAGGGTGATAATTTATATTCAATCACAGGGCTGTAACGGACAAATCAGAGCTAGTTTTCAGTTCTACTCTTGCAATTTGATTATGGAACTGACTAAGTAATGATAAATGAAAATTGACCATTATGACTTAGATCAGGGAGGTCCAACCTGCGGCTCCTAGAAGGATTACTTGT